TAGGGTTGCCAAGAGACCAATAGGATGTGTAGTAACACCTGCTGAATAGGAAGCACACAATACAAGACCAGTGCAAGGAGGTGCCAGTACACAGTAGGCCACATAAAAGGCTTGGATGTTATTAGTAATAATGAGATATTGTGAGGCCCTGATTTACATTTTGCATCACAGAAGTTAAGGAATAACTGCACTTTTTATGTACATTAGCTCTTTTAATATAACCAGGGTCAGCAAGAAACTTTGCAAATATAACCTTATATCAAATAACACTCATGTAATTACCTTAGAGAGAGAGAGAGAGAGAGATCACCAGATTCTGGAGGAAAGAAGCTCCCACCAAAGTCTAAACAATTCCCATCTCCCATGATACCTTATTCTAGATAGTCAATTGTAGAAAGCAGAATGCACATCTAGATGAATTCCCTAATAATTTACTTGCTCTACTGCCGGTCTTTTAATGAGTCTTTTTATAAAGTGTAGTACAGAGTGCAGACAGGCTAAATGCAAACAAAGTAAAGTTTTCAAACCGATGACAGCTATTAAAGCATATAAAACAATCAGTGGTAATAAGCTACATGTGCAAACCTGCTTGCTGTTCCAGGATATTTCAATTGGGTTTTTTACAGTAATACTTTAAGCTATGCTCCTGCTCTTCAATATTAAAGGAGAACTATGGGGTTCTATCTTTTCTTTATTAATGCATTCCTTAGGCTAAATAAGTAAATTATGTAATTTACTCTAATTAGCCAAAATGCACAATAAGGCTGTAAAAGCTAATTTAAGGTGGTGGGCGGGGCTAAGCGCCGCAATGAGGAGACATCCCGACGTGTCTCACGGGATCCTCCCCACGGTTCTTCCTCACTGTAACTGACAGTGATTCTTGAGAGCTGCTGCGCGTCCATGAATATATGGACATGCGCAGCAGCTCTCTTCTTATCTGCACGTCCCCGTGTGCCAGCCATCAAGCCAGCTGCTGTGTAGCTCTTGATCCCCTCCCTCCTCCTCATCTGTCCCGCCTACTTCACGACACGTGTAGTGTACAGCACAGTCAGTCCATATATGGTGAATGATGTCACTGGGTATCCCTGCAGACTGGCAAGCATCCGATCAGCAGGGATCCCCAGTGACATAATTCATCATATATGCATTGGCCATACGTGGTAAATGCTGAAGAGAGAGAGAAGGCTAGTCCAATTATTGGTGGCTTCCAGTGCCCATAATTGACACATGTCTATTTAGTTATCTAATGCTGTCTATAATGATGCATTCTGGAATGCTGTTTGCTTTATTGTAATACTACATGCATCATATTTTCACATTACAGCAAAAAGAAAGATGTCACCTTATCTTTCTGCAATATGCTTAGTAAAACCTGAGAAGATTCAGCACCTAACATTGTTGGTGTGCTCTGTAAAGACATGTTGTAAATGTCTTAGCTGAAGCACAATTGTCCCTTCCACTCTACTCTGTGATGAAAAACTACAAGCCTTGTGGGATTAGGATCTTCCAATTTAAGATGGTTATGCTTCAATAACCTTTAGATGCATGTTTGGAAATCCTTGCATTTTCTCAATTAAAATTCCTGTAATCTTCAACAACCTAAAAAAAAACCTGCTTTATTAAAATGCATCTTATATAACATTTAGGTCGGGCATGCTTCTATCTGCTGCTGTTACAGGTCAAACATCTGCACTATACATCTACTATTAATTACAGCAATGTATGTTTGGCCCAGGGCTGTCTTGCAAAGTGAATCAGAGATGCGGTATCTTTTTAATAGAGCTAACTTACTTTATTGTACATTCTGATCAAGGCCCAACAGCCAGCACTCCACTGTAGTAACTAGCTAGTTGAAAAGAGTGATGACTACCCCTGGTGGTTCATGCAATACAACATGCTTATATTCTTGTTTCATTTTACATTCACTAGGCATGAGAAGACAAATTATGTTTTCAAAACTTAGCCACACTCACTGGCAATCACTAACTTAACATGCTTTTTTGGCCCTGTGAATAGTGACCATGTAAACAGCCAAATAAAGCAAGATGGCATAATTTTATCTAAGACATTACCAGATGCAGATCACAGCTACTCTGCAAATAAGGAGCACTAGAAAGAGCTCAGACAAATTATTCATCATTATAATTAATTCATCTGCTACCGATAATACACATTCTGAATATAATTATGATGGTATATTGGATGAATGTATATGTTACTTATGGTTTGGTGATCCTCTGGTGTATATAATTTGTTAAATCAACTTTAAAATGGTTGGATCAAATATACACAACACTTTGGGTTTTTTTTATGAAGCATTGGTTTCAGTCAGATATGTCCAGATGCAGAGCCTGATGAGTGATAAAAAAAACCCCTACAATATGCAATTAGAAAAGGCGAGACACATAAGCACTATCGCTGGCAGCTTAGCACCCTCCATGGAGTATGGGCTATCATGATGTGAAGGGCAGCACACCGGTCTTTTTTTATCTGTAGTCACAGGACAGACGAGGGTCCATTACAACTATCGTTTGAAAAGCAGCTTGGAACAAAGCAGCAAAGTAACTGGAATAAACAAGATTTTACAATGGGCTTTTGCATTGTATTCTGCATCACTAGAGCAGGGGATAGATACAGATGTTTGCCTGGAAAATCGACATCTCCATATGCTGCAACTTAATAATTAGGCAAAAGCAGCCTAACTTGTGTCCTGGTGTTGAAATGCTTCCTCTGACAAAGCTTAAATGAATCAGAACATCTCATCTGTGTTCAAAGGAGCACCGTCCCCATTCAGATAGCCAGCCACCCTTGTTGAGAAGGCATTTTGTTTCATCTGAGGCTAGCAGTATAACTCGTGTTCTACTCAGAGTCAATGTCTGCCCTTCTCTGCACTTCTTAAAATTCATCTTGTGTTAACAACTCTCTGCTGCCTCCAGAAAGCTCACAGTGACCACAATGAGATTGCTAATATGTTGCAGTTGCTCCATGAGCCCAACTGCTTCCATTTGCATTTTATTTTCTTGCACACAACAGAGGGTGTTGCCATCCATTAATTATTTATTAATCATGATTTTGTCTGGTCTCTACACAGCAGAGATCCAGAGAAACTGAGCTTGGATTCACGCCCCCCCCCATCAAATTATTGTAAGGTACTGAATTAGGGCGCAACATAGAGCAAAAATAAGAAAAATGTGATTAGATTACGTCTTAAATTGCTTTAGTGAAATAAAATAAGCAAAGAGACAGCTGCACCTGCTATGGCTCATTAAGCTAAAATCATGCATTATGGGTTTTTTTCTTCCACACCTTAGCAAAGGGGGGTGGAATAAATAAATATGTTGTGCAAATTACCTGATAGGTAAATGTTTGCACAGAACGAAAACGACCTGCACTGAATGAAATGTGTACGCCATTCGCACGTCCTAATGACTGGAGAAGCTCAACGCGGTGTTCTAATGTGCTATACACAGTTAACTAGAACGCTGACTGACCCATTTCCTAGAAGTGTGGCCTGCGTTAGACTGAGATGATCCACACACCCCTGGGGCAGAACTCAAGTGAAATGAAATCATACCCAGCCAAATGCCACAAACATGAAAGGCAGATGTATATCACACAACACAGATAGATACACTGCAGTTTAGCTGTCATTAACTGATTATCTCAATGGTTGCAACAACCAACACTGCATATAAATCCTCTAAAAAAAGCCTCTCCTGGCCACTGTAATAGAGTTATTGCCTTGTTTGCTGTGTTGATTTACGAACAGCTTTTCCCAATTTTCCATTTTTCCATGTCAGTTCAGTATCATTTTCTTTGCAGATGGGCTTACGTATCCCGAGGCTTGCGAACAAATGGATTTAATCAAGGAAAAATAAACAAAAACGAGAAAAAAAAACATTTAAATGAATAAATGTCATTACAGGATCCTCTAGCAAAAATAATCACAGATTATCATCCAAGAGACACAGCTGGGATTACCCTTTCATGAAATAATATTCAATAGATTTCATTGTCATGCACATCTAGGAGGCATACTGAATTTCTGAAATCCCTTTAAAAATAATGACACAAGAAATCCTATTTTGACTTATGTGAAGGTCTGCTGTGGATTTCCTTCGTTGTCCTTGTACCAGATAACCTTCATAGGTTGCAGGGTTCTCATGTGAAAGGTTACAACCATTTCTCAGTACAAGCATCATCCACACGTATCAGGCATGATGCTAATAATATGAACACCAAAAGCCAATAAACATTGCCCAAGAAGACCAAATGTAAAACACCGACCATATCAAAAGCATATCTGTATAAAGATGGGAAATGTAACCTTCCTGTAGGCTCCCAGCCATCCTGTTTTTCTCATCAATCACAGGATAGCTCGAAAAGTAGTAATAATTCTAGCTATTCAAGCAATCTTGCGCTAGCATGTCCAAAGATGCTGATACTTACATGTGTTTAGAACACGTAACCACCTATTAAATTCAAACTCCAACTACATAACATATCTGATAGTTTATCATTGACCTGAATTGCCTATATGATTGGAAAAACCAGGATACTGCCTGTGTAAAGGTTTTATTTTCACATCAATATTATCCGATCACTGCTATTTTTTCTCATTGCAGAGATTTTACACCTCTCCGGGCATTGAGATTTTTTTTAGACTTGCTGCAGAATCGAAAATGCATCATTAGAATAGTAGGTATTCATTTTCTATTTACAACAAATTGAAACTTTAAGGAAACACGTTTAGCAGATCTGCAGTGACGGTGCAGTCATTTCACTGTAGCTTAAATGAACCGGTTAACCCATCAGTGGCTCAAGACACCTGCAATGTGCTGCCGTGTGGGGATGACAGATGCACTTCAGCAGTGCAGGAGTTAAACTCTTTTTCCCAGGAGCATTGATACATTCCACTCTTTACCATAAAAGCTTTTGCATATTTTTCAGCTCTTTCCACACCCAAGCCGGTATGAAAGGGCAATATATTACTTTTTATTCTACTTACGATATTTGGGCATAGTGGTAGTTTCCAGAGTGGTCGTGGTAGACTCCTGAAACCGAGACTGGGTGGAAACATGGAGATACATTTTGTAGGTAGAGGTAGAATATTCCGTGGTGGGCCATATGGGCATTGGCTGGGTGCTGGGGGTCCCTGGAAGTGGGCGTGGCGCAAAAGTGGTGGTGCTAAGGGGGGCAGTGGTGGAGATAATTGTAGGAGGGGCAACTGTATGGCGCACAGTTGTGGTTCGAGGGTTTGCCCAGATAGGTACTCTGCTTCCCGGGATACGAGTTGGCGCCCGGGTGGTAGTGGTTAAACGGGTGCTAATTTGATTGGGAGTCCTCGTGGTGGTCGTGGTAGTTGTAGTCTCCATACTTTTTGGAAAAGAGCTCGGTTTGGAAAGGAAAATCGGGTCCTGACCGATACCCTTGGAATCCATTAAATCGGGAGGGACATAATCCTTCACAGAACCCACTACAATCCACTTTAAAAGCATCAAACTCAGACCCAAGCCAATGAATCCAATTAAGAGAGGCACTACACATAGCCACGTTTGCTGCCTGTTCCACACAATGCAGTCACTACACCGCACCTCCCGAGGGTTTGGTGCCCCATCCTCTTCTTCTGTAGTGTTTCCACCTGCAGCCTCTTCAGCAGCTGCCGGACGTACAGGTGGCGAGGTGGAGGCAGCCCCTTCACTCATCCTATATTCCTTTCACCCCCCAAAATACATGAGCATGGAGAAGCTGGATCATCAGCATTTAAGTAGGCTCCCCACCACGAAGGGAGATAAATCTCAGCATTCAAATGTCACAGATAATTAACAAACAAACATTCCTCCATTCGATTCTTGTACGGAGCAAAACACCAGAAACAGTGCTGAATCAGCTAGAAAAATACCATCCATCCAGGGTTTAACGTGCTATTCATCCGTGCATCTCTTCACTTTGCTCTCGTATCTCGCCTGTCTCCTGTGCGGATACACCAGCCTTCTTTTTTTTTTCCTTTTTTTTCCAAGCATCCGTGTGTCCCCCTTTTGTCTATTCGATCAGGCACATTCCTGCACACGGGAGCTGCCTTCTCTCTCCTCTGCTTCTCTCTCAGCTAGAGAACAGATGCACCAGCCTTCCTCGGCTGTTTCTTTCAAAGGCGACAGAGCAGCAAAATGCACCTGTTATTCAGCAGTCCCTGCAACCAACCCTTGGCCAGCACTTTAAGAGAGAGACCAATCCGAAGCTAGAGCTAAGGAGAGTCTGAGCTGTGGAAGCCAGCAGCGGTAGCAGTATAGACACCAGCATAAGCATTTAACAGAACACAAAATAAGCCATAGGGGGAAAAAAAACAGCTCCTAACGCACAGTGTGCATGCATGAATATATGCATGCACATATATACATCCATTGATGCCGTGCTTTCAAAATGAGAAATAAAAATGAATGGGATGCAAAGCTTTGGAAGCCTTTGCAGCATCAATTGAATATGGTTCTAGCAGAGCAAAAGGCAGCCTGGCTTTGGGAAGAAAAACTGAAAAAGGCACCTCCCCCTAATGCCTAATGGTAGTTTCTTAATGCGTACAAGATAAATAAATGATCCAGGAAAATCCCTCGGGAACAGTCTGGCGAAACCTTTTTTTTTTTTCTAAACAGGTTTAAAGACCTTTCTTTCCATGCTAATATAATAAATGGCTGTGGTCTTTTGCACCTTGAGAAGGCACATTCCTCTTAGACCTGCGGGGGACTTAATGTGATCAGCTGCTCCAGCTTGGGAACGTTTTCCAATCTCTAGTTGTAGGTGCATCAATGTGTGTCTGTTTGAACAGGTCAAATACCTCGACGGCCCCGACGATGCAACTACGTCAGGTGAAACGTTTGTCTGGCAATTCCAATGTACAATTGAAAGTTTTTTAGAAGCATGTTGCAAGTGTGACTCTTGTCACGATTCCTGATTTATCAAATAACAACAGGACAGAGCTTACTATAAAAAATACACAGCATCTGGGCGGTGGTTGGCGTGTAGCGCCGCTCGCATAGGGACCGGAGCGAGGGTAGAAGCAAGACACCTCTCTTGCATGTTCATTGGGAACCCGGTGCTAAATCGTGTGTAGCAGAGCAGCTACCTGGCTGCGATCTACTGAAAGTCATCCCTTGAGTCAAGCTTAAAAAAAAAATACACAGCTTAGCATTTCTCATGACTATTAAGCTGGCCATACACCTCCAGATTTTTGTATGTTCATTCATATGAATAATCTCGACAAGGTCAATCACAATTTCATTGAATTTTATCATTGAATTTTGGAATAAATGGAGTTTCTCAAACGAAAACCACATTCACTGTTAGAATTTTATTCATTACAGAAAGATTTTCCATTCCACTCCTTCACTTTGTTTAATCAGTACATTTGTCACCGGTCATTGATTTGTCCCCGATAACTAGTAGAGAATTGAACGAACGTTACCAAAACAAAATCTACTACTGGTGTTTGGCCAACTTTAGAAACTGTCAGCTATTATGCTGCTTATAGAGTCTTTCTCAAAGAGAAATCCCTCGTCGGACAGGATAATTCATTGGCTTCTAAAGCTAGCCATACACTATTATATATTTTTCGTTAAAACTGCAGTCTGAGCGTAAAAAAAAATCAGATTCCTCCTCTCATGCTAAATAGCATAGATGGATAAATCGGTGGGTGTGCTGATTGCCTGCCGTCACTGCCGAACTGAGCGGCTCATTCAATTTTCTGATTAAAGGAAGTTAGATGGAAGACTGCTGATAGACTGAGCAAATTTCGTCTGGTTTATCAAAAACTAGCCAACATTTGCAAAGAATCTCCAGCCTAATGCTGGGCACACACCTTACAACCATCGCAAGACTTTTGTCTTGCGATGGTTGTAAGGTACTTAAAAAAACGTACGATCTGCCTATCTTGCATAGGCAGATCGTACGTGGGATGATCGCAAGCCACGCCCCCTGAGGGGCGGGCTTCCGATGACCGCAATGCCGAACGGGCAGTGTGCGCTTGCGCACACCGGCCCGTACGGCTTTTATCGTAAGAACATGCCACAAACCCGCCGAACATCGTACGATGTCCGTAAGTTAAAAGTCGTGCGACCTTACAGTAGAGGTCGCACGGCTTCCACACACCTTGCGATAATTGTACGATTGCGGGATTTCCTGCGATTATCGTACGATTATCGTAAGGTGTGTGGGGACCTTAAGGGTCTACTCACACCATGTCTGCTAAGTTGCGATTTTCTGCACACCAACGAACATTTTTGGAAGCCCTAAATAAGTCAGATGTGTCCCTGATGACACCACCCTATGCACTATAACCTGGGGTGGAATGAATGGTAAAGGCAGGGAGGATGATGAGTTAAAGGTGAACTCCGGGCAGGTATAAAAGACACAAATGAATCAGCTCTGTAATCATTAAATGTGAGCTGCGCAATGCTGGGTATGCACAGTTAAGGTCTCGTTCACACAAATTCTGCTTGGAAAAAAATTGGTTTTCGTGAAAATTCATTCAATTTTTAATTAGTTAATGGGATCAAATTTTCGATCGATTTTGACCATAGTGATGATAAAATTAAAGGAGCAGGATGGAAAACTTTGCGTAAAGGATCAACATTCTAACAGTGACTGTGATTTTCATTTGAATGTCGATCCGAGTGTTAAAATCAAACAAAATTTCCAACAATGTTCAGGTTTCCGATGGCATTATCAAATGTTCTGATGAGATTTTTCACATGAAAGTACAACAAAAATCTACCGGTGTATGGACAGCTTAAAGAAAAACTCTGGGGAAAAAGTTCTTAACCCTTGCAGTGGGGCTACCCCCCCCCTGCAAGGGTTAAGTCCTCATATTCATCTAAGTGCTAAAATAACAAAGTTATTCTAAACCGAACTCAGAACCGACTGGCTGTTAGACTGGTCCTTCCATCCTCTCCCCCCTCTGCTCCAGTGGTCTAAGGTCCTGTGAGTCATTGTGTCCAATAAAGTGTGTATAGGATGTGAGGACGCCGAGGGACATACCATCGCTGGAGCAGGGGTGGGAAGGGATCGATGTAACAGCCATTTGGCTGCAAGGTTGGGGTGAGTATATACTGGGGTATCCCCACTGCAAGGGTTACGAAAATGTATTCTTTAAGTAGATGGATTTGACCTGGTTTCAGTCTCCAGCAGTACTTATACAGCAGGGCTGAAATGTGAGAGGGACAAACAGTACAAGGAACCACACAGTTTTATGCTGACAAGAAGAATGCTGATAGGAAGAGAAAGCAGAGTGACAGAGAGATGACTTCATGACTGTGCTGCTTCTCCTTCACTGTCCAGTCACAGGCTGTGGGTGGGTCCAGGACAACCTGGGCTCAGAGGATATAGATGCATTGATGCTGACCATCAGACTGAGGACATCTAGTGGCAGAAAAAAGTACAGAGAATCTCTGTACTAAATGTGAATATTGCAGCAAAAGCTGGTTTTGTAATTTTATTTTTTAATAGGCTATTTGTTTTACTTTTGATATTTTTTGCCTGAGATTCTGCTAATGGTTGGAGTTCTGTGCATACCTTTCTGTTCAGCTTTTTTCATATTCACACACACAACATGTTGTAGAACAATTTCCAATGGGGGTATTAGCAGCAGCCTCTGCTTTAGAATGAAGGGAGCCTGTCACTCAAAATGTAAGTACCACAGAGCCCCTGCATGTTCTTATATATCTTTCTCTGTACTCAGGATAACATCAGACCCCGACACACAATGCCTGCAATGCTCAATGGTGCTGTTTTACTCTTGTATCTGCATTGTAGAATCCTTGGGGTATAAGTGTCAGGGCTTCAGGCTGAGTTAAAGGATCCCAGGGAATGTGCTCCTGGGTCCCAAGGCAGATCTGAGTACATATAAGAAGCTTTGCTTAGGATTTAGGCAGATATAAAAGACACACATCTTTTTGGCTCGGTATTCATTCATACATCAGTGAATTTTTTTTTCCCAAATGCAAACAGTGTAAATACCTGATTTTTATTTATTAGCCTCTTGCAGCCCCTGTACAGCAGAGCTCAGACTGGGAGAGGTCAAAGCAGCAAAACTAAAAAACAGTTATTTGTGCTGCATTGCTAACAGAGGGCATGCTGATAGAAGCAGCAACCGGAGTGACAGAGAGATGAACTCATCAGTGTGATGTTTCCCCTTTCATTCTCCAGTCACAGCACAGGGGAGGAAGAACATCTGTAAGTGTTACTTAACTGATATACTGAAAACTCAAGTCTCCTGTCCTGCCAGGGTCAGCTGTGTGGCAGAGCTGTGTATATTCCAGGACTGGATGGACAGTACAAATCCTTTTAGCAGGTAAAGCAGCTTGAGTATATGTATTTCTTCTGTGTATTTAGCCATTTGCCTGCAGCTTTATGGGACATTAAGGCATACCATGCCAGAAATATCACCATTTACTTGCTGTAAGAAGTGTAGATTCTAGAAAACGATGGTGTTGCACATCGTAATGTGTACATGACTGCCATACTCCGAGGGAAACAAAGAACTTAAACATGGCTTAGCTGCTTGCAGGGGAGAAAGGATTACACTGGTATGCACTTGTAGCGCTCACCCCCGAAGGAGCCGCTGGATGAACAGGTCCATATCTAGTCAGTCTAGGGATAGATTTTCAACTGCCCCATTAGCATTAACCGCCCTCTTCCTGTGCCCATAAATTGAAGTCCGCTCCAATCGTTAGATGCTGGTTAAACAGTTTATTCACTTCTATCTCGGGAGAGAGGGTATAGGGTCTAGGTGCACTGGCCTCCATAGCTCCAGACTCACCAGATCTTATCTTCGTGAAGTACATCTCCACAATCCTTGGAAGAACACTGACCCCGCTCAGAAGTCCCTCTGAATACCAGGCACTTCAAAAGCCCACACGTGTCCTGATTCTTCCATTCTTACAGGCATTCTCCTGACTGCAAACTCTCAAGGAGGCTTCTCCTTCAGCAGCTCAGCCAACTCCCACCCCCAGGCCTCGGCCTAGCCTAGGGGCAGGCTGAACAGGACCCAACCTCAGTCCATGGCTGGTCCAGGCAAGAGAGCGAGCACATGGCCTCCCACCAATATATATATCCTTTGTCAGCAGACATCACTGGCTACAAAAAGCCCAGTAACTGGCTGCTGCCCTGTACACATATCACAGTGTCACCCATTGGCTGTCCCATAATGTGACAGAGTCTCACTCCGCCCTAGGGGGTACAGACTAGGGTTGCCACCTGTCCAGGATTCACCCGGACAGTTCGGGTTTTGAATGCTGTGTTCGGGTTTCATGGCAGCAGAAACCCGGACACAAGATGTCACGCACACAGGAGAAACCAAAATTAAGATAAGGGCTAGTGGCCCCCCACTGAAAATAGTCTCAACTGTGATATTTACATATGAAAAAGCCGCAACTCATTCTTCCAAGAAAATTTCCGTGTGTCGCTAGAGTGTTCGGGTTTCGATGGAAGAAAAGGTGGCA